AGAGACAGAGAGACAGAGAGAGAGAGAGAGAGAGAGAGAGAGAGAGGGCATACTTATGTGGCAGCATGAGAAAAGGAGTAGTTTTATTTGAAAAGTCATGTTGATATACTGCTTCTCCACTTAAATAGGAAGTCTCTCATTGGAGGCAGTGATTTGAGTGGGAAGCATCATCAAATAATCATCAAGGAGAACATCGAGAAGCCACGAGGAATAGCTGTACATCCAAAAGCCAAGTAGGTATTTATGAAAAGAAGGCACCAAATGATGAGCTTGTGTCCCTGTTCACATCTCAGATGCTCATGTCTAAGATGCCCATGTCTACAATGCTCCAGTTTGTGCTAAGACTGCGGGGGGTCAGTGAAGTCAGAAGCCAAGAAGACCTGTGAATTGTGTTCAGATGTTCAGAACAGCATCCCTTGCTCAGCTCTCAGTCCTCATTAACCAATTAGACTTAAGTCTAGGAGTCTACTTTCCTTAAAAGTCTTGTGTTGTCGGGACTGGAGAGACGGCTCAGTGGTTAAGAGTTCTGACTGCTCTTCTGCAAGACCCCAGTTCGGTTCTCAGTACTCACACAGCTCACAGCCATCTGCAATTCCAGTTCCAGGAGAACCAATAAGCTGTCTTTGTCTCCACAGGTACCAGGCATGAAATGTTACATATACACATATCAAAACACTCATATACATACATTTTTTTAAAAAAATCTTTGTTTAAAGAAATTTAAAATCTACATTGTTGTTTCTTGAAAACCGGATAAGTAGAAATATGAATTATGAAGGAGTAGTAGATTCTATGCTACTAACCGTGAATTAGCATCACATTCTGGTTTGAGGGTGAAGAATTGAGGAGAATAAAGAATTTCTTCAGAGCTGCTAAAAAGACAGTTGATTCTGTTTTATTTTTCATGGAAATTTTGTAGTAGTCTCTGGACTACGGTAGTATGTGCTGGTAGTAACTGATAATTGATCTGGAGCCAATCAGATGGTTAAAACAATGAGAACACATCTCCAAATGAACTAAGTAGATACAAAACCATATTGATATTTTTTTTAAAAATGTATCTAGTTTGCAAAAGTTAAAATTATCTTAGTAGGTACAGCACCTTGTATAAATTTAGGAAACAGGTACACACACTATTCCTTTATTTTAGTTTAATATGTGCATAATATAAGAATGAGCTACCAAACTGGGTAGTGGTGGTGCACGCCTAATTTAATCCCAGCACTTGGAAGGCAGAGGCAGGTAGATGTCTAAGTTCAAGATCAATGTGGTCAACAGAGTTAGTTCCAGGACAACCAAGACTACACAGAGAAATACTGTTTTGGGAAAAAAAATGAGCTACCAAATTGATTGCATTTTGCTGTTAATACTGTTTATTCAAGTACAAATTGGATTAGTAGTATTGTACAATTTTAAATATCAACTCCTTTTCCATCTAATGACCTGAGACCATGTTTGTCCACGACACTTTCTATAGATGAGATAATTGAGGATTTTCATTTTGTTTTTAATTGTTTAACATGCTGAGCTGCATTTTCTCCCTGTATATTGCTTTGTGTACCACCCTTTACACCCCAAAGTGATTTATAGTGACATTTCAGTTTTGAAAGAATAGAAGAGTTTTTCATGCAAATTTGACTTGTGAGATTTTTCTTTCTTTTTTTTTTTTTTTTTTTTTTTAGGGGCTTTTTTTGGAGTGGACGGACACAGGAATGTATCCACGGATTGAAAGCTCTTATCTTCAGGGTTCTGGCCGGCTACTGATAGCCAGCTCTGATCTGTGGGAGCCCAGTGGACTCACGATTGACTACTTAACAGACACTTTGTATTGGTGTGACACCAAGCAGTCTGTCATTGAAATGGCCAATCTGGATGGTTCCAAACGCCGAAGACTTGTCCAGAACGATGTAGGTGAGACTTTGGGGTGGATGTCTTTTCTTCATTTTTCTTTTTGACATTATATTATGTTTTTTTTTTTTTAATTATGTGACATGTATGCATTTGGGAATGTGTGCATACGAGTGCAGGTACCCACAAAGGCCAGAAGAGGGTGGCAGGTCCCTTGGAGGTAATTGTGAGCAGGTTGATGCGGGTACTGGAAACCAAACACAGATTCCCTGAAAGAGCAGTACTTTCTCTTGTCAGCTGGACCATCTCTCCAGACTCCGACCTCTTCATCTTGATTGAGTACTGATGGATGTTAAATCTAGACTGTGCTTACATGTGTATACACATTTAACCAGACTACAGAGATAGAATTCCTCAAGAATTATAAAATAGAAAAATTACCTGAGCATTGGAATAATGAGTAAAAATTAATGTTGTATAATCTGGGATTTTCCCAAATAAAAGTCAAAATCTTACCTTTTTCTGAACTTATTTCAGAATAAAAATTTTTCTGTCTTTTTAATCTGCCATTCCTTAGCCATGATAATATCACTTTTGGGAATTAATGAATGTTGGTTGAAAACATGGGCATTATGAATAAAATTTAGAGATGGTCTGACAGTAGGTTGGTATAAGGAAAGATGAGAACCTGGAAGTGTTGGAGGAATTTTAGGGATTAAGCACTGGCTAGAAAGATTTTAAAAAATCAGTCTCATATAGGAAGGAACTAAAAAACTAGTTATGTTGTCAATTCTATTTAATTTATAGATAATTTTCTAGACAATATTACATGAAATAGAGCAAGAAAAATACTTAAATTGTATATATTTCTAAGATTGTCTAAAAATACTATATTCTTCTTTTATAGTTGGACCTTCTCCATCCACTTGACATTTATTGATTTCTCATAGGGAATGAGGGATTTCTTGTAGGGAATAGAAATTTCTCATAGGGTAGTGGCTGAAACAAATAGAAAGTTTTGTAATGGAATCTAATAGAGGAGATATACTTTATTTTTTAATAGCTTCATTGTAAGATTATATATATATATATATACTTATATATATATAATAGGAGATATATAGGAGATATATATAATATATATAGGAGATATATATATATATCTCCTAACCAGAATATAAAAACATCATGTTCTGTATTTAAAGACATAGTCTATAATACTTTATTTGTTTTTGAGATAAGGTCTCATGTGTCCCAGGATAGATTTGAACTTACTATATAGTGGAGGATGACCTTGAACTTCTGACTATCCTGCCTTCACCTCCAAAGTGCTGAGATGATAGGAACATTCCCATTCTCAATTTAGATGGTGCTGGAGACTAAACAGAGGTTTGTACACTACAGACATGCACTTTACCAGCTGAGGTAGTCCCTTACCCCTTTAGCATATATTTTGTAATTACAAGTGATATTACAATCTGAATAGTGTAATTTTCTCATGAAAAGCAATATTAAATGTTATGTTTAATTGTCTAATCATTCCTACTCTAGAGTGCCATCTACTGCAATATATATGGTATTTTCTCTTTATTATTATTATTATATTTAATTACTCATATTTACATATCCATCCCCCCATTCCCTTGCCTGCCCCTCCTCCCATGTTCCCCACCCAACCCACCCCCTCTACTCCTCTCCAAGGATAGTGAGGCCCTCTACCAAGGACCTACAAAGTCTGTCATATTGTTTGGGGGAGGGTCTAGACCCTCCTTGCTGTATCTGGGCTGCAATAGCATCCCTCCATAGGGAATGGGCTCCCAAAGTCCATTTGTACTCTATGGATAAAGACTGGTTCCGCTGTTAGAGGACCCGTAGACTGTCTTGGGTTCCTAGCTGGTACCCACTTTCAGAGGGTTTGCTTTGGTCCAATGCTGTTTCCCCAGCTTTATGATTAGGGTCTCCATTCTATCAGTAGGTCAGGTCCACTGTTTCTGCAGGTCTCTCCATCCCATCTTGGCTCCTTTGCTCAACCCTCCTCCCTCTCCATAACTGAATTCCAGTAGTATGGTTCAGTGTTTATCTATGGGTGTCTGTTTCTGCTTCGAACAGCAACTGGATGAAGACTCACCTACCTCTCCCTGCCCCAGGGTTCCAATTTGATCAGGGGTTCTTGTCCTGATCCCCTTCTTCTAGGGACAATGCAATCTTCTCTTGGGGTTCTCCTTGTTTCCTAGCTTCTCTGGCAGTGTGGAATGTAGGCTAGTGATCTTTTGCTCTATGTCTAAAAATCAAAAATGAGTGAGTACATATCATGTTTATCTTTTTGTGACTGGGTTACCTCACTGAGGATGGTTTCTTCTAGTCCCATCCATTTACCTGCGAATTTCAAGATTTCATTGTTCTTTTTCGCTGAGTAGTATTCCATTGTGTAAATATACTGTTGGGGACCGAATAATTCTGTTATGAATATTTTTAGGCCCAGTCTCTAGCTCCAGTAAACATGGAACACTGGAAAGCTCTGGCCCACTATTGTATTGTTAATGTCAGTAGGGCTACTTTTGTTTACCATGGCCTCAGGGTGATATGCCTCCTTATTTGCATATCTATGCACCTAAGCATCTGAATAAGGCCTGCACCTGGGCAGGGAGATCAGAGGTGTGTGAATAACTTGTGAGGATAGAAGGTTAGGAGGAGAGGCGAGTGGCCAGAAGAGCAAGGGAACAAAGAGAGAAATGGTTGCTTCATGGTATTAGCAGGATGGTTAAGAAACACCAGAAAAGTTGGCTAATAAAGAAATGACTCTAGTTCTACAACATGGAACTGAGAGCTCTCTAAAGATGACAAGATGCCTGTGTTTGATCTTTATCGCTGTTGGGCTGCTGGGAGCTTCCAGGTCCACCCCCCACACACACACACTCAGGTCAAACCTCATGGCTGTCGTGGACTAAAGCTGAGACAAGCTGGGTCACGACAATATACCACATTTTCTCTATCCATTCTTCAGTTGAGGGGCATCTAGGTTGTTTCCAGGTTCTGGCTATTACAAATAATGCTGCTATGAACATATGTCCTTATTGCATGAGTGTGAATTCTTTGGGTATATGCCCAAGAGAGGGATTGCTGGGTCTTGAGGTAGACTGATTCCCATTTTCCTGAAGAATTGCCATACTAATTTCCAAAGTGGTTGTACAAGTTTGCACTCCCACCAGCAATGGAGGAGAGTTCCTCTTTCTCCACATCCTCTCCAGCATAGATTGTCATTGGTGTTATTGATTTTAGCCATTCTGACAGGAGTAAGATGGTATCTCAGAGTGGTTTTGAGTTGCATTTCCCTGATGGCTAAGGATGTTGAGCACTTTCTCAAGTGTCTTTCAGCCATTTTGAATTCCTCTGTTAAGAATTCTCTATTTAGTTCTGCACTCCCTATTTTAATTGCATTTCTTGGTGTTTTGGTGGCTAGCTTCTTGAATTCATTGTATATTTTGGTGATCAGCCTTCTGACAGATGTGGGGTTGATGAATATCTTTTCCCATTCTGTGGGCTGGCATTTTGTCTTGCTGACTGTGTCCTTTGCTTTACAGAAGCTTCTCAGTTTCGGGAGGTCCCATTTATTAATTGTAGATCTCAATATTTGAGCTACTAGTGTTATGTTCAGAAAGCGGTGTCCTGTACCAATTTGTTCAAGGGTGCCACCTACCTTCTCTTCTAAGAGGTTCAGTGTGGCTGAATTTATATTGAGGTCTTTGATCCATTTGGATTTAAGTTTAGTGCATGGCAATAGATCTGCGATCTTCTACATGTCTGAATCCAGTTATGCCAGCACCATTTGTTGAAGATGCTTTCTTTTTTCCATTGTATAAATTTAGCTTCTTTGTCAAAAATCAGATGTTCATAGGTGTGTGGGTTAATATCAGGGTTTTCAATTCGATTCCATTGGTCAACCTGTCTATTTTTGTGCCAATACCAAGCTGTTTTCAGGACTATGGCGCTACAGTAAAGCTTGAAGTCAGGGATGGTGATGCCTCCAGAAGTTTCTCTATTGTACAGGGTTGTTTTGGCTATCCTGGGTTTTTTGTTTTTCCATATGAAGTTGAATACTGTTCTTTCAAGGTCTGGGAAGAATTGTGTTGGGATTTTGATGGGAATTGCATTAAATATGTTAATTGCTTTTGGCAAGATTGCCATTTTTACTGTTGATCCTACCTATCCAGGAGCATGGGAGATCTTTCCATTTTCTGGTATATACTTTAATTTCTTTCTTTAAAGACTCAAAGTTATTACTATACAGGTCTTTCTTGTTTTTGGTTAGTGTTACCCCAAGATATTGTATTTTGTTAGTTGCTATTGTAAAGGGTGATGTTTCTCTGATTTCTTTCTCAGCACATTTATCTTCTGTATATAGTAGAGCTACTGATTTTTTTAAAGTTAATCTTGTATCCTGCCACATTGTTGAAGGTGTTTATCAGCTGTAGTAGTTCCCTGGTAGAGTTTTCAGGTCACTTATGCAAACTATCATATCATCTGCAAATAGTGAAAGTTTGACTTCTTCCTTTTCAATTTAAAGTTAATCTTGTATCCTGCCACATTGTTGAAGGTGTTTATCAGCTGTAGTAGTTCCCTGGTAGAGTTTTCAGGTCACTTATGCAAACTATCATATCATCTGCAAATAGTGAAAGTTTGACTTCTTCCTTTTCAATTTGTATCCCCTTGATCTCCTTTTATTGTCTTACTGCTATAACTAGGGCTTCAAGTACAATATTGAAGAGATATGGAGAGAGTGGACAGCC